GACTCACAGATCCAAATAAATGCTTTAAATAACTTGGAGTGTTGAGTACTGTCACCTACCCTTTCTTAAAGTAACAAGGACACGCGAAACGCAAATTCGCACGTTTTGTCTTGCGTAAGTGGATGCAGGGAATGCAATACACTCTTATATTCACCTTAATTTGAGCTAAAGTGTGATTAAATATGTGGGGAGAAGGCAGACATAATAAAGGAAAAGCCTACCATAGCTTAAAATGACACGGTTCCGATACACTTAAGAACTTCTACCCATTGCATATACAATCATTAGACTTAATAAATTAAAGTTTTTGTTCCATCTTCTTAACTCTAACAAATTACCCCCTGCCTGAGTAACTTCGAGCTGTCTACTGTTTGTTTGCCGTTTTAAATTTGATCTAACGGACACTGTAAACCGGATTTAAAAAACTTCAAAGTCACAATATTTGATGAATGCACACTGTGTTCACTCTAGAAATGCAATTACTCACTTCATCATCGTACTCGTCATCATCCTCATCATTGGAGTCGTTCGCCGATTGGATGTCAACTAAAATCAAAAGGCTAGTTTAAACAGAAGCCAGGATAATGTGACGTTTGTTAATTTTTTTCAAATTCTGGTAATATTAGCAAAAGGTATGCTTCGAGCTTACATTCACAATTCGTTTTGAGGTCCAAAGGCCATTTATAAGACTACAGCATACGATCACCAAAGTCAAGTACAGATAGGTAATTTAGTTTTTCCACATATACCGTCTTTTGCTTTCCCATTAACATAATTGTACATTTTTCGTATATTATTTAATCGTAACAGCAGCGCCGTGCTACACCCGAGTAGCGTCTTCAAAGCGGAATAGCGCCAAGTTGCTGTTCCGTTAATACACATCATGAATGCTGCTTCAGATATCTGTAGGTCGGTCTTTGCGAGGACGTGGGAACTGTTTCTACCTCTTCGGCTATCTCACGCGCAGCCCAATTACCACGGTGGCAGCAAATGTAAAGAGGGTTTCTTGCTACAGAACGATAATTGGTCTTCCTATTGAATGACCAGTTTAAGACAAAGCAACCCGCCGCACTCCCACCCCAGTTTCCACCCTGCTGGTCGACAGAACTACAAAGGCGGCAAGCTCACTTAATGCTCTGGATAACATACGCCTTACCAAAGCTTAACAGACGGCGTTGCTGGGATACATATCCCCTCTTTGGTCGCTTCAGCGGCGTGATAATTAAGACACATGGTACGTCTGGCCTATCCAGTGAAGTCAAAGTGGTACAGCAAGTGTGGCGGTGGGTGTAAGTCAATAGCCCTAACTCATACCTATGTCCCAATTCTCGGGCAATATGTAAGTAGGCGACAAAGGACAAGAGTAGATAAATTTATAAAGAATAAAAGATAAAGAATAAATGTAACGAATCAGGTCTTTTGACAAGAAAAGCTTCCGACTGAAAAGTACTTAATAAGTCACAACAGTTACTAGCACTTAATTCTTACCCGAATTCATCTGCTTAATAATGAATTCGAATTGACGATTCAACTCTGGCTGATCGCTCCGCATAAAGCACCGCAGAATGCCTTCAAGGTCCTAAGAAAAGCAAGAATTTGTGTGAGAAAACCAGAAAAGGAAGAAATGCTATATCGTCAATTTCAATGCTTAAAAACAATCCAAGCTGCTTCATGATTGATGCTGGGTGAAATGTGGCATGCAATTAAGTCAGGCGCTTCTAGCAAGAAAATGCCAACTATACAGGTATGAAGTAGGTACCCTAACTCATAAAGTCTAAGAAGTTTTACAAGAAAATACTTGTTACGCAAAAGGCGGCCCAAACTTCGTCCCCAAAAATCTTACAGCCGTCTTACAGTCCGTGACAGCGCAGCTGCCGAGAGGGGTAAACTAGAAGCCCACTCACGGGCAATGCAAATAAACAAAGTCGGGAATGGACTTTGCATAATTTAAACCTAAATATAATGAA